AGAAATCAAAACTACCCTGGAGAGGGAGGGCCCCCAGAGCAACGGACCCACAGCTGCTCAGGTCTCTGCATCGGTAACTCCACTTCCCAGCCCTTCTTCACCTGGGACAACACTTGCTCTCCCGAAGGTGGGGATGATCAAGGAAGAGCACGAGGTGGCCGTGCTGGGGGCGCCCCAGAGCTCAGCTCCCGTGACGACCACCGTGATCAACATCCGCAGTGAGACCCCTGTGCCCGACCACATCGTCTGGTCCCTGTTCAACACGTTCTTCACGTACTGGTGCTGCTGCCTGGGCTTCATGGCATTCGCCTACTCCGTGAAGGTGGGGGATTCTCCAGAAAGTGTGTGTGAGCCTGCAGAGATGGCGCTTGGGGTGTGGGGAGGCCTGGTGTGTGTTACATCCCTCAGACTCAGGATGTGGCTCCAAGGCTTTCTCAGAAAGAACAAAGGGACTCACAGGGAACCCTGCCCCTTGGTGGGGTGAGTGGTCAGTGAAGGGGCCAGAGCAGAGGGAGGAGGATTCTGAGGCCTCGTGGAGAGGCAGAGGCTGTGAGGAAGGAGATGGAGGCCCAATCCGGGAGGGGGCCCATCAGGCACTGTCCTGCTCAGGCTCAGGGGCCGGGGATGGCAGCTCCCCACGTGGGTGAAGGGCAGGTGGAGGCTGCTCTGGGCAGGGACCAGCCAGGGGAGGACGTGAGTCGTAGCACCTGGCTCTCACCAGAACCCCCTCCAAGTCCCTCTCACCTCTCTTCTCCCCCAGTCTAGGGACCGGAAGATGGTGGGCGACGTGACTGGGGCCCAGAGCTATGCGTCCACCGCCAAGCTCCTGAACATCCTTGCCCTGGTCTTGGGCCTCCTCGTGATCACCACATTCTCGATTATTTTTCGCCACTCGCTGACTAATTTTGTCCCAAGCATTTAAGCAATCATAAAGAGTTACGGAGACTACTAGTAGCTGCCCCAGGCCTGCAGCTGTTACCCCTTTTCACAGCAGTTTATACACACATCTGTCTATACCTAAATTCAGTAAAGCACTGGTTTGTGAGGACGCTGTGTTTTCACCTGGGGAGGGGCCCTGCTGAGAGTCCTCAGCCTGCCCCTGAGACTGAGCCCACTTCCACCTACTTGCTGCTCTGAGGGGGCTGGGCATGTCCTCAGGGCTTGCTTGTATCTGGCCTTGAGCTGGGGGGCACAAATGGACAAGGGTTTTGGGTGGGTGTCCCTCCTTCTCAGAGGTTTGAGCCCTGACTCAAGGTGGGTTCGTTTGGGACGGGTGGTACTTAGTCCAGAACACCCTCGGCCCCCAAGGCCCCCATTGGTGGGAAGGCTGCAGGGGACCTGACTCAGGGGGGACCTGACTCGGGGAGTCCACAGTTCACGCTGGGGAGAAAGCCCCAGCGGTCCCTGCTCTTCAGGAGGAGGAGAAATCCCTGCCCTGACCTAGAAATCAGCTCCCTCACCTAATTCTGTCGTGGCCTCCAGATGTGTGGGCACCTGGGGGTGCTCCAGGGCAGACCCTGCCCACAACCAGCTGGGCAGGGGCAGCGGGAGCTGGGGAGGCCATAGCCTCCCCACCCACCCCTGTGCACCCAGACCCCCGCTGTCGGTCCTCCGCATGCCTTCCGTCCTGACTCCCACAGTGAGCTTCCACCAGGGTCCCCTGTGCCTGTACTCCTCCGTGGGACCCCTGCCCTCCACCTCCCTGGGAGTCCTGTCTCCCATCTCCTAGTTCTGTGCGGCCGTGTTGGCTGTGCATACCCATGCTCCATGGTCTGCAGCTCCTTCTCCTAAATGGCTGTGGTGGTTTCAAATGTATCAAAAGTTCCTTCTCTGCAAAACTGAAGCCCACCGCCCTGCCAGCGAGTGAGGGTGAACTTCCGACATTCATCTAAGAAATCAGACATAGTGACAGTGTGTGATTTTTGATATTGGGTCTCAAAGGCGCTGTGAAGGAATTGCTGACACAACCACAGGAACATATCAGATGGGGCCTCCATCCATCCACCCCTCTGCCGTGTTGGGGTCAAACCTAGGTTGGTCTAGTGGCCAAGGGGTAGGCCAGGGGGAGAGTCTGGAGTGCTCCTGGGGGCAGCCCCTGCATTGGCTTCAAGCAAGCCTGAGGGCTCGCTGTAATAGGAAGGCGGGTTGGGGGCACTGCTGTGGTCTCAGAGGGGTGGTGGTCTCTGGGGATTCAGGATTCCTCCCCGTGGAGACTCCAATCATTCCCACCACCTCTGACTACGGTACGGTAGATCTCCCCCCTCTGGCAGTTTAACCTTTGGAGCTAAACTATTTTTTTGTTGTTGCTGTTATGGCAAAATTTGCACAGAATGAACTAAGAATAATAAGAGGAGCATCTGCTGGTTACCCAGCCCTCACAACGAGCACATTCTGTCATTTCAGCATCTGTACTTGCACTGATCCCCCCATTTTATTTGCAGATTTTAGTTGAAATTTACGCACACTAATATGGGCAATTGCTATCTGTACAATTTTGGAACTGGATGCCCCGCGTGCCCACACCCCTATCAGGACAAGGAGCACACCATCTCTACCCACAGTCTCCTGGTACAGCTCTCGATTCAGTCCCGCCCAGTGGCAGACAAGTGCGGAATTGCACCTGCGACGGTCTGGCCTAACCCGGAGCATTCCATAAATGGATCACGCAGTTGGCACAGTCCTGTCTGTCTTCTTGGGCTCAGATCATGCCTGTGGGCGTCACCACCGGGTGGCCTGTAACAGCCACATCCTTCCCCTCACGGGGTGTGGTGCTCCCTTGTGTAACACATCTGAAGCTGTGTAGCCATTTCCTAGCAACGAGCATTTGGGGTGTCCCGGTCTTTGCCTTCCGCACAAAACTGGCGGTCCTCGGCCTATGGACAGGCTGGTCCTGACTCTGCCCTGCAGGGCCCCTGTCCATTGTGGGCCTGGAAAGTGGACGCTCTCCACTGGGACCTGGGGCATCCGCGGCCAGGAACAGACGGACCATCCTCCGCCCAGGAGTACATTTGTCCTCTCTGCCCTCGGCCCCCATCGGGACAAACCTGGGCTGGGCATCTTCAGGAGTCCAGCCCGGCCATCGGCCTCCAGGCTCACCCCAGGCAAAGCGGGAAGAGAATATTCTCTCCGAGTGCTGTTTGGAAAAGATTTCTAGGAACACGGCTCACCTCTGCAGCCCGGCACCTGCCCGGCCCCGCCCACCTATCCGGCCCCGCCCACACGCCCGACGCGCCCACAGCAGGCCCCACCCACGTGTCCCCACCGCCCACCTCCCCTCCTCCCCAGCTCGCACCACCGTAAGCCCCGCCCACCCCCAGGCGACACAGGGCGCCTTCCCACCCACTTCGGAACCAGAGCCGGTGTTGCGGCTCCGAGGACCAAGGCTGCTCCCGGCTGGGCCCTCGAGAGCCCAGTGGTCAGCACCCAGGACCTTCCCGCTGACCTGCAATTGCGCCTGCGTCATGCCTCAGGCCTCACCTGCAACTTTTCAAAAGCTCGGGATCAGGGGCTCTTTGCGGGCTGCGCGAGAGGGTCGCCCCCTAGCAGGACCCTCATCCCAGGTCACGGAAGCTCAGATGGGGTAGGCCCAATGCTGAGTGCCCTTCATGACAGCGGCCCTACAGGAGAATGTGGGCCCCTCCTGTCCACCGGAGCCGGGGTCAGGGTGACCCAACCCGGGTCTGCCCTGTCCGTTGGCAGGGGGCGCCGCAGACCCTCCCCCCTGGCAGTGAGTTCCCGGACCCAGAGGGGCGGGTCCATCAGCGTCCCCTCCCCCAGGACCCACTTTCCAAGGACCGCCTTGCTGCTCCCACACGTGGGACCAGCGGAGATAAGGGGACGCCCTCGGGCAAGTCATCGTTCACTAAAGAGGACCCCAACCCGTGTGGCCAAGGAGTTAGGGCGCTGCAGGGGATGACACTGGGGGTGTGGGAGTTTGGGCAGTCCGACACGTCTGGAGGGCTGGACTGAGGGAGAACCCAGCATGAAGAGCTGTTGACTTCAGGTGCAAGCGAACAGGACTGGCCTCTCTTCGCTGCTGGAGCCAGGTGAGGCTGGATCCCCCAAGGGCAAAGCACTGTGGAGAAGGGTTCAACTCCCTGGCACCGGCCTGTGGCCACTTGGACTTCTGCAGCCTCTCCAGGGTGATACTGTGCAGGGCATGGTGAGTCAGCCAGCAGAGTGTGTATCCCCACCCACTCCCTCTGGGGCCTCAGAGACAGGAATACCTGCCTTGGGCAAGTTCCCCCTGCATCAGGCTGAGGATGGCCCAACCTCCCCTTGTGCATCCCAGGCTCTGGCAGAGGCTCACAGCCAATGCCCCAGGGTCCCTATTGCTGGGGCACTGGGGCGCTGGCACATTGCGCGGCTGCTCCAGCCAGCAGGGCCAGCCCGGTTTGGGTTGGAGAAATTGGTCCTTCCTCTCAGGGTTTTGGTCTAATGGGGCTGAGTCACCAGTTCTGATTATTGGCTTCTGCAGTCAGCCTACAGCTGAGCGCTCTATCCCCCTTGAGGACACTGGCTGCCCCCACCCCTCACCCGCAGGGGAGCAGGACAGAGCCTGGTGGGCTGGAGGAGGCAGCAGCAGGATGCAACAATGGCTGGATCGCCCAGGAGGGGCGGGGAGGGCCGGGGCTCCATCAGCCGAGCCCACACATGCAAAACCCATGGCCTTCCCACAGGGTCTGAGCTGCCCGCCTTCACCCAGCACTGCGGCTCCCAGCCCCCCGAGAGTCAGGGAGGCTGGTCCTCGGGGCAAAGGGTGTTCTGGGCACAGTGTGCCCTTGCGTCAGGACGCAGACCTTGGGGAAAGAGGGAGCCCCGTCCCAGGACCCGGGTCCAGCTGTTGCTCCCAGCAGGAGGCTGGAAACCAACACAACCTGAGGACATGCCCAGCCCCCCTCAGAGCAGCACAGCAGGTGGGCCAGGGAGGAGTGGGCCCAGTCTCGGGGGCAGGCTGGGGACTCTCAGCAGGGCCCCTGCCCATGGGACATCACAGCACCGTCACAGGCAAGTGTGCTTTATTGAATCCAGGTGTAGACAGGCATGTCTGTGCAAACTGCTGTAGAAAGGGGTAGGGGCGAGGGGGCAGGGCCAACAGCCCCAGGATGCGGGGACGGTAGGGATGGGGCCGCAGCCATGGGCAGCTAGAAGTAGCCTCTTCCCTCCTACGTGGATATCATAACGATCTGGTAGAAGTTCAGGGCGGCATATCCCAGAAGAACAATGAATCCAGTGGTCAGAAAGAGGCCCAAGACCAGGGCCCAGATGTTCAGGCTCTTGGCGGTGGACGCATAGCTCTGGGCCCCAGTCACGTCGCCCACCATCTTCCGGTCCCTAGACTAGGGGAGAAGAGAGGTGAGAGGGACTTGGAAGGGTGCTGGTGAGAGCCAGGTGCTATGACTCAGGTCCTCCCCTGGCTGGTCCTTGCCCAGAGCAGCCTCCACCTGCCCTTCACCCACATGGGGAGCTGCCATCCCCGGCCCCTGAGCCTGAGCAGGACAGCGCCTGATGGGCCCTCTCCCTGCTGGGGCCTCCGTCTCCTTCCTCACAGCCTCAGCCTCTCCATGAGGCCTCAGACTCCTCCCTCTGCTCTGGCCCCTTCACTGGCCACTCACCTTGCCAGGGTCAGAGTCTTTTGAGTACCTTTTCCTTTATCTGGACCAGACTTGAGGTCTGAATTCAAAGTGTGAAGCATGCACTTTCTCTAACTAGTCTGGGAAGGAGACTTGGGGATTATGGAGACATAGGCTGCCCCGGCCATCCCTGTGCAGCCTTGCCGTGTTCCCTCACTGCGAGATCCCCCAGCCACACACACACAACGTGAAACACACACACAAGGCCTCCCCACACCCCAAGTGCCATCTCTGCAGGCTCACACACACTTTCTGGAGCATCCCCCACCTTCACGGAGTAGGCGAATGCCACAAAGCCCGGGCAGCACCAGTTCAAGAAGACGGTGTTGAACAGGGACCAGACGATGTGGTCGGGTACAGAGATCTCGGTAGGGATGTTGATCACGGTGGTTGGCATGGGAGCTGAGCTCTGGGGCGCCCCCAGCACGGCCACCTCGTGCTCTTCCTTGATCATCCCCACCTTCGGGAGAGCAAGTGTTGTCCCAGGTGAAGAAGGGCTGGGAAGTGGAGTTACCGATGCAGAGACCTGAGCAGCTGTGGGTCCGTTGCTCTGGGGGCCC